AGGGCTTCAACATGGGTGGGGGGGGGGCAGTTTATAGGAATGCAATCAGTCAAAGTTTATTAAGCGGCAAGAGAACCCAAACAGGGAATTATGAAATGCTAGGCTGCCACAGGCAGTCGGTTCACATTTGCCCATTTTGTAATGAGCTCTTTTGCACGTCCGATTCCATTATTTCAATTTACAATTTTTTCATGTTGCAGGATTACACGATCCCTTATAAGGATTTTTCCATCTCAGGCACAACAGGCTGCACTTTCTCCTATTGCTGTTGACCCGCATAATTGCATTGTTTGGTCTTAAATTGGCATGGATCTCCTGGGCAACGGGAAGTAGAGGAGGCAGGTTGGCACTAATGTTTCGGTGGTGCCGTGTAGAGCTCCAAGCTCATTGTCTGTGATTACTAGTTCTCATTAAGCTGCCTTGTACACAGAAGTCTTCCCGTTACTGCTATTTCTTTCCAGTTTAGTCTCTGCACTGCCAGTAGCTTGCATGATGAATAACTGGGAGGTGCTTTCTTCATAATAGGACGTTACTAGTACCAGCTTAAACTTATTTCATTGATTCTTTAACCTATACATAAACATTGACAGTTTTACAGGTGCTAGGGTATGAAGTATTGGTAACTATGAATTGAGTTGCTTATTGTCTCATTTTAAAGGCATAAGTGCAGTCAAATGCAGCCACCTATTATGAGGTAACCACCTGCATGATCTCCACCTTAATAGAGGTAGATAGTCTGTGTGAAAAGGAAAGGGATAAGCACAAATCTGTCTGCTTACAGAAACTGTGAACCACATTGTCCTGATGCAGGGCGCATTACATAGTTTGTGTACCTCTGGAATAACTGCTCAAAATGAATGTGAGCTTAATGGGCAAGTATTACAGCAGCAATCCTCACAGGATCAACGGATGTCTGTATGTTGTTTTGAGCGCCACTGCAACCACAATGGGGACTTTCGCACTGTAAATTATTAGGGGAAAGAACAGAAGAGGTTCAAAATAGTCCACTGTTCATTATGTCCATGTGTTTGGCTTGTCATTTCTTCCTTATACTTCGTTCTTGTGAATTCAGACCGATCATTACGAAAAGAGCCCCACCATGTATTGTGGCTGCCAGAAAACACAGCACGGTCTACTATTAAGAGGCGGGGAAATGGATGTATGTACAACTGCTGCCCGTGGGAGTATTTGGGTCCACGTTGTTGTAACCACACATGACCTGTTGCCCTGCAATCCGCTCGTCCTAAATTCAAAGCTGGATTGTCTTTGGTCAGAACCAAGGCAGGAATATAGCCTGCTTCCGTGAAGCTGAATACTGAGAAGTATCTTAAATACTTCTGAGTGCCAGCTCCAGTGTAAACAGTCAGTGGTGCCAACAACAATTTTTGCACTTAGAGGGAATTTCATAGGTCTGCATTTGTTATGCTCAATGTCAATGAGTTAGAGAACCATGGAACTATGGGTCAGGACTCAGTGGTTGGGTGTGGTTTCAGGAACCCCAAACTTACTCATTCTTAAAATTCTGTAAAGGGATTGAATAACAACATGGCCTCGAATGGAACTCTCTAGAAGTGTGTTTCCCAATCTGGTCCTAAGGAACCTGCAGACAGTCCACGTTTTTGCTCCCTCCAATTCTCAGGGAGCAAAGATGTGGACTGTCCGTAAGTCCCCGAGGACTGGGCTGGGAAACACTATTCTAGAAGAGTTTTATGCAGGACCCTCCTAGTCATGGTGATCCCCTTGTAACCTACAGTAGAGTTCCTTTGAGATTTCCATCTTCTCATTTGTTTTTTTTTCTTACCTTTTCTTAAATCTTGGTTTCGATTATTCATGTGTCCCGGTCTGTGAACCAGAGTACTCCTGGACTTTAGCATTTTTTTATTTGCTGCTAGTTCCAGTTACTAATTTAAAATACATTTAAAATGATGGAGACTGGAGTCAGCTGTAATTTGACATTTCTTTCCCTAGGGCCCTCTGGAGGTGACATTTACTCAGCCTGTGCGCGCAGCCAATGGGACGAATGGGTGAGTTGGTCCCCTTTCTTTTTGTGTATGTTCGGTATTTTAAAAGCGATATTATTCTCAGTTGACGGCGTAGTTCCAGTGATTGTCAGATTCGCAAAAGACGCTGCCCACTAAAGAAAAAAAGTTGTCACAATGTGACTGGGGAACGGAAGCTGTCAATGTTGGGGCTTTGTCTTTATATGCGGATTAATTACAGAAAGGTGTTTCGCTTAAGGAGTCGACTCGATCTGAGAAACACCTCTACTGAAATGCTGGCCAGCAGGATCATTCCACAGTGTTATACAAGACATCTCTTGCCGCAAACCTTGACCGAGCATTGATTAGATTGAAACGGCTTGTTCCTGCGGTGACGCCCAGTAATAAATTACATCACCCCTAGACAGGTCTTTGTTCGTCAATTGGACGTTATCTCAGTGGAAAGCCATAATATCTTGGAACAGTATTTTACCACTTCTGGCTTTGAGGAAATAACATGACATGTTAACCACGTAACATTCTGTCAAGAGTAGATTTTTTTTTGTGGTGGGCTGCATTTGGTTACTACAGTACTGGCTCAGATGAGGCTTAAATGAGAGAGATAATTGGTATTGTGTAGATACAGGACTGGGGTGCTTTATGAAAAATATTCTAAAGTTGCAAGTTTAGTATGATGCATGTAGAGATGACCAAAATTTGAACTTCTGTTGTTTCGTTGGTGTTCTTGGCATCTGGATAGTTGTGGATCCAAGTGTGTATGGCGCACATAGGTAGACATGGCTCCACTGTCTCTCACTCTCTCTCAAGTCTGAGGAGTGATGTGTCACTCAGGAAAGACTATCGCCCACTGGATGTACTTTCTCAGTTCCACATCAGCTAAGAACGTGACGTGAAGCCGCTAACAGCTTTATTATAGAGTGCTGTTTCTAGTCCCTTATAAAGTTAGCTCAGTGGCAGGGCAAATTTTATCGTAAGTGCCCCCCCCTCCCCCTTCCCTTTTCCCGCGCCCCGAGGGGAGGTCCATTTCACAGGATTGTTCGGGGGCCCAGCCATGTCTCTGTGCCACACTGTTCATTGGTAGGGGTTCTACGGAAATGCAACGTGGGTCATTAGGAATATTAGTTAACGTGTTAGGTGTGCACAGAATAACATTTCCCTGAGTATCTTCAACATTTAAAATTGTAGTGTTGGCCTTGATTTGTCCTCTACCTGCAAATGTTCTTTAACTTGAAGACTGTTGACTTAGGATTCGGACAAGATTGATCGGTTGCGCCACTCCATTGTAAATACATATATACAGGTATATGTATGGCTGGTTTACATTCTGCATTTTAGATAAGGAGTATTTAATCCGTGCTATACGTGCTGTGCTAAACCTGCATGTTCTTGTTGGTTAGCCAGTCGAAACGTGCACTTCCTCAAGCCACCAAGCCTCAGATCAGGTCAAAGTTTATCAAATGCATAACAGTACAACATACATTAGTATAGTGTTTTCCAAACCAGTCCCGGGGGACCCCTCCCCACAGACGTTCCATGTTTTTGCTCCCTCTCAACTCCCAGGGAATTGGGAGAGAGCGAAAATGTGTACTGTTTTTGGGGGGGGGGGGGGTCCCAAGGACTGGATTGAGAAACCCTGCATTAGTAGATGCAGGCAATGAACTGGAAAAAAAAAATACATAAAATAATAATGTAGAAATAAAGAAGCGTAATGAAATGTGTAAATATGTAAAATGTGTGAACTGTCCGTACCAATAGCATGATCAGCTATTGAGTAGCCTCACTGCCTGAGGGGAATGTTCTTGCATAAATGGTAATGCATCACTAATAACTAATAGGGTTAATTATTTATCACCTCGAGCCCTTGCAGCGCTGAACAGAAGAATTGTGGCAATTAGTGTAACAATACACTCCAGTGTGTTGTTAATTCTATTATTGCTTATTGTGACTCTTTGCTCTACCTGATCTCAGTACAGTCTTTGGGGAGACGTACACATGCAATCACACCCTGTGGCTCTCCCACCCCAGTGACCCAATTTGCTATCCAGAGAAACCTACGGGGACCATTCAGTAGTATGATACACTCCTTCACTCAGTGTACTGGATTGGCCTAGCATGCAGGCTTGGCCAGCAAGATAATAACCCGTTAGACAAAGAAGCTACTATTGGCCACGCCGTAACCTTAGGATTGGTCCTGGCTGGGGCGTGTGGCCGGCAACACTTGCTCTGCTGATCTCCCACCCTCGCGTCCCACATCCTCCACGGCAGCGTTTTTCAACCCTAGATCTGGAAAACCACCATGTTTATTTTCTACCACCCACTTAATTGCATTATTTATAAGTTTTCATTCAGCTGTTGAAAGAATGATTGTCAGATCCCAGCTGCACAAAGCCACGTCTTGTTGGTTCCAAATCATCTATTTGCCTTTCAGCCTTTCTAGGTGTTAAACCAACAAGGGCTTGATTTAAATCTTATTATTATAATTATTTAATTAATTTAATATTGATTGAATGGAATTAGTATATAATATATACTATATATTCTTAATTTTAAGGTAAATGGATACATATCAGATTTATTATTTATTTGTTTTTTCCATAAGCACGTTGCTGTAAAATCCTTAGTTGAAGCTTTTACTCTAACATGGTTTCAATTGCGTGATTCATTCTGTCAGCAGCTCAGGGCTAATCTAGGAAGATCCCAATCGAGGGGAAAGAGCACTGTAAACAGAGGGCTGAGCACCATGATTACGGCAGGCCACAGGTTATGGGGTGTGGGGGTGGGGATAGGAGGCAAGATGGAGGAAAATTAGTGTGAATTCTATCATTAGGAGCCATCGAGCAAAAAAGTGCTCTTCAGGGAAGAGAGCCATAAGATGACTCAGTCCAATAACAGGAACGGGGAGGAACGGGGACACTGCAGGGAGTGGCAGGGACGGGCAGGCTCTGAATGCGTGCATCATGTCACATTGTTTAAGACGAAGAAAAAGGAGGGGTGGCAAGAATGTCATTTAGAACAACCTGAAGAACGAACAAGTGAATATCGCGATTATTTACAGTCTAACCTGCCTTTTAAGAATGGAAAGAAATCTTTCACACTTTTTTATGCAAGGACATTTCTGCGCTCTCTTTCTCTGTCTCTCTCTTTTAAATAATGCAGCCGTAAGATGAAGATGGACTTTATTGATCTCGGGAAAATTCTGGCGCATGCAGCAGGCGAGAACGGTGTGCACAGACGAACGTGCATATAGTGCCAAACAGCGGAGGCGCAAAGACGGTACACAGAGTGCAAACAAAGTAAACGTTGCGCAGAAAAAAGTACAGAAAATGCCCTGAAAAACCGAACATTGCCATACTTCAGAAATTAATATTTAAAGAAAAGAATAATAAGTTAGAATAATAATAATAAATTAGTCCAAATTAAGAAATAAAGACCGACATTCTGAAGAAGGTAGAGGCAATAAAATAGCTAATAAGTAGGGTTTTATTAATCGATGCTGCCCGCCCTGCCTGGTGGTGAGCGTGTGCTGCGGCTGAGACGGCCTCTTAGGCCTCTACAAGGCATCTGTGCCCTGTAGGGTTGTGACAGCAGTCACAGCCAGAAGTGTCGATGTCGAAGGCACAGGCCCAAGCCCCGGAGGACAGCCGACAGCTGGTGGAGTCATACCACCCACAGGGGACGGCTTCTGGCGGCCTGCCAGACAGCCAGGGGCCCCCACTCCGCAGTGGTCAGGTTGGAGACATTTGTCTGTGTATTACCTTGGAAAAATGCCCCAGGATATTACTTTTTTTTCCCCCCCTCATCTCGACTTTGCCTGTCGTCAGCTTATTACCTTTGCATTGTTCTACAAACAAAAGCAAGTCTCCTCACCTGAAAGAGGCTTTATCATTTAAAACTCGTGAAATGTCACGCCGCGCCTGGAGCGACGGCGGTTCTGAGAAGTTTAGGAACTGGGTTCCGTCCGAGTCGAACTGAGGTTAGCGATAGCGAGCGATGCCAGGGGGCGCACGGCCTGTGTGTTTGTCCTCTGCCTCGGGTGGCCCTCATCTCCTCGTCTTGTCTGGACTTGTGCACTAGCTAACCTGGGCTGTTAGCCCAGGGGCTCCCAGAATTTATTTTTTTCTGGTTGTTACAGCAGCAGTTCATGATGTAGGTAGGGGCCCCAATGACGACACTAGCCCAGGGACTGCCCCCCCCCCCCCCCCCGCCATAAATTCAGCCCTGTTCACTTCTGTCCTTCAATGGGCAGCTGGGTAATATGGAGGAGTAGACATGGGGACAGGTTCAACATGCGGCACGGCACCCGGTGACCCTGGAACGTGCCACACTGGTGGCAAGAATATATCATCCGTTTAAATCGCCGATTAAGACTTAAGAACTGAAACTAATCTTGAGGCATGTTTGCTGATATAGCCTCCATTACATAATTTCCACATTCATTTTCCCTATAATACAATTTTATCCAAAACCTATTATCTTATCAAAAACCCTGTGATTCCTTATATACATTTTCTGGTCTGTCCCTCTCATCAGCCAACCACACTGTATGTATATATGAAGATGTATATACACATCTTCATGGTTTCTCCCCTTAAATCCACGTCAATATATTTATTTAGCAGTTTTTTTTTTGTTTTTTTCTTTTGTCTGTGTGTAATTCGGTCCTGAGAGATTCTCTGGCAGACTTCTTGAGTAAACAGATTTATTTTCGGATGGAAGGTCACAGGGCAGCGTCACAGTTGCTGGATTCCCATTTTCCCACCGTTCAAATCGGAAGTCCATGCTCACTCCAGGATTCCTCTGGGTTGCTTTTGACTTCCCCTCACTTAAGCTTTGGATCCGACGGGAGTTTTGTTTTGAGTAATCCCACTTACGTTTTTTATGTTGTGATTCAAGGGTGTGGGGACTGATAAGGTTTGGTTTCATCACCTACTGACTGCTGGTTTTTAACTAAGGTCCATCCATGAATATGTCTGAATATGTGTCGGTTCACTAACCGTTTCATATTTTGCTTTTCCTGTACTACCAAGAAGGAAAATGACCCTGGAAATGTAGACGGATAATCCTAGTCGTGTCACCGCACATCAAGTCCCCGCTCTTAGTATATGAACAGGAAATGGAGACGTGACATCGCTCAGATTCTTCGTGGGTGTGTGCAGGGTGGAGCCACGCCGCTAACATCAGACAGAGAGCTTTCAAAGAGTCATTGTGATTGACCTAGTCGCACTCAAGGCCAGCGCTGGCCGAAAGCTGAAAGCTCTGAGGATAGGCCATGTGGAAACATCTAATCGGTCAGACTGGCCTGATGCGCATTGTTTGAAGCCAGTCCCAGATGTGGAGGCCCGTGGATTCGACTTTGTGGTACATTTAGCACGTGTGACTTCACAATGCTTGTTGGTGTAATAGCTGACCTTTTCGCCTCGACTTTCTAGATTAAACAGAACTGAAAGTAAGGGAGATCGGTGAATGTTCTTCCCATCATTTGCCTCAGAGGAGATCTGCTCCCTTTTCGGGGAATGCGTGTTTGCTTTCGTTCACACGTCACAGCGCGCCGCGTGCCCACTCGCTCGGTTTTCTGTTTCGGGCCCCCAGATGGATGTAGTTAGCGTGGCAAGGCTTCACGGCGTGACGCTCACATCTGGGCCGCAGAGCTTGGTCCGCCTCACTTCCGTAAACAAACCGCATTATTCATTTTTTTTCCCCCTTCCCTAAATTCCCCAGCCCCCGCTTTCTCCAATTAGATTAACGTGCTTGGAATTTAATGCTGTTTCCCCCCCCCCCCCCCATTGGTGATTAGCATCTAGCAACCGAGCACTGAGGAGCTCGTGCCTTCGCAAAACAAATTTACCGGAGTATTGGAGTGGAACAACTCGAATTAAATGCATATTTGTTGTAGTGCTAAAATTAAAAAGAAAAAGAGCCTAAAGAGGGAAAACATGTTTGCCTTGATTGTTAGACGCTTAATGAAATGGGGCAGCCATGGACAGGGGGGTGCTGATTCTAGAAAGGAGGAATCGGCACCAGTGATAGTGGAAGGTGGTGTAACATCAGCAGTAGTGTTCCATGGAGGTACCTGTAATACAGCCTTGAGTGTCTCTCTGTAAAGCAGGCATTAGCTGTACAGCTAACAGAGGCATTAGCTGTACAGCTAACAGAGGCATTAGCTGTACAGCTAACAGAGGCATTAGCTGTACAGCTAACAGAGGCATTAGCCTCTGGGCCATAGCTACGACTTTTCTGTCGGCCTTTTATAATTTAATCCCTGTGTAAAACTGTTTCCTGTGCACCACTAACAGGAAGCTCCTGCTCAGCCCCTCGGTCACAGCAAGGAAAAGGAGGCACAGAACAGCCGGGGCAGTCCGGGAGCCTCGTTTGTGAGGCTGTACTGAGGCTGTACTGAGGTTTTACACCGCCCCCCTACTTGAAACTCACTTCCCCGTTACCCGTGAGGCCTCCGCCATGACCTTAGTGGTGTTGTTCTAGCCGGCGGTCCACCTCAATTTGTTTTCCTTCTGGAATATGACTTTCCAAGATGGCTCCCTAAATATTGCACGATTAGCTCCCGGTTGTTAGCTTTTTATACGTCACACGGTAGATTGATACAAAGTGCTGTTTATCTGACACATTGCGTAACATCACAAAATAAGCTGGACTTGCATAGCACCAGGCATCTCATTTCTCGCTGCAAGAGTTAATATTTTTGTATACGTTTAGTTTCGCTCCTGTCCACAATTCACACAATTGCATATTGTTCCCATGACCTTTCTGGGGGAAAAATAGCATATCGACTCCTGCTCCTTCGCGGTTTCAATCAAGTTTCGTTCAGATGTGGACAGGAAAGTACTGAAAGGTCAGCTGGGACCCCATCTTGCATGGGCCATATTCCTTAGATCTCCACTGGTCTGACCTCTCTTGTTAGGTAACGACGTTAAAGTGCTGACAAGGGAATTTCTAAAACAAAAGAAGGGGAAAGCCCTTCGCGACCTGCCTGTACCAGTTTTATTAGTCAGCGTGAGTCAGGGCTAGAATCAGACGCTGGATGCACAGCACCAGTGGTGGAATGTGACTGTAGATTCTCACTGCCCGCCAGACTGTAGCTGTAGATTTTCTCTGTCTGGCATGAAATATATTACCCCTGTCTGCCCCTTCATGTGGATGCCTACAGAGGATCCATTTTTGTTTGTGTCTGTGTATAAATAGCCATATGACTTTGCGACCTCTCTCTCTCTCTCTCTCTCTCTCTCTCATATATAAAAATGTATGTGTAGATTGCCTTTTAGGATTAACAACCGTTGGGGCCAGCTGGCATCATTTATATGGATTGGTGGTACAGATTAACCCCCCCCCCCACCCCGTCCTTGAACCAGACCCCCCTGAAGTACAGCAGATAACTCCCCACAAGCCTGAGAAGAAGAGTTTTTGGTGAGGGAGATCTGACAATCTTTAAGTAATCCCCCCCCACCCCCCACCAAAGCTACCCAGACGCTGCTTCAGGGATGCACTACTGAGAACATCGGGGAAATAGCTCAGGAGGGTAGCTGGAATGGGCACCGTACCACGTCGGACACACTTGGAGTGTGTGCGTGCCACCCCGCGTGATGCAAGGGTCCCCGGCAGTCCTCTGGCGGGGCTCCGCGTGGCGTCATCAGAGCTCCCGTGTAGCGTTTCCCTGCCGTGATGCCTGCGAGTGCTGGGCCCTGGCCGTCTGCGTAGCTGCTTTAATTAGAGGCTGGCGCAAATCCGCAGGGCGCTGCTGGTGCTGCACACACAGACACACAGACACGCACACACAGACACGCACACACAGACACGCACACACAGACACACACACACAGACACACACACACACACACATGCCAGCTGGTTCCTCAGACCCTTTTTATGACCACTTAGCCGCTGTAATTATTCAATGGTCTGGATTCATCGATAATGTGAAACTGTCCCAGCTTAAGACCTATAATGTTCTTGGATTAAAGGCTGCGAGTTTCAGGATAACCGCTGTACTGTGCCGTACTATGGCACGAGAGCCGAATGACTGAACGAAAACACAAAGCGAGCTCAGCCAAAGTGGCTGGCTGGATCCGAGTAGCCGGCTGCATAGGCTTGGTTTACTTGTCCATATCCCGTGGCTTGACCTTCCCAAGGGAGGGACGTCTCGAACGCAGGGTGCAGCAGATGAGTAAATACGTAAATTCAAACAGCTGCGGCCAGTGGAAATGGTCAGAAAGCTTGCCCTCGTCTCCTGGAATCGGTGGAAGGAAGTTTAGATGAGAAGATAAACAAATAATCATTTGAGCAAATGACCAGCTACCTTCATAGGGATGCTAATGGAACGTGGATTACAGTAAGGAGCAGCTTCTTCCAGACCACCGGCATCAAAAGATTACTTCGTCAGGATAAACATGTCCAATGTAAGGTTGGGTAGAATGAAGTCCTTCCTTTGTTTCTGTCTTTTTTCTTTTTTCTCCTTTGTGAAGAGCCACAAACCCAAGATTGTTTCCGTGGGGAGCTGACAGCATCGTTCGCCACGCCACAATGGGCTGCTGTTTGGTCTAGCTTTCAGACGTTGTGGTGTCTGCCGTTAACTCGTAAAGCCCGTAGAGTGTATCGCGGCCCTCACCATCACCGTGGCCTGTTGAAAGAGGAGGGCAAAGAAACCAAAACAACAACGCCGTGCTGTTTAAAATTATTTCAAAACGTTCTCTGATGTTACTGACAGATTTTTCTTGATAATAATAAAGAGAAAACAAATTTCCATACTGCTGAATTCTTTTCACCTGGGTGTTTTGTTTTCTTCTTCTTTCTTACAGTCAAAACAAGACAGAAAATGCCCTCTGTTTTCTTTGCGCGTTCATTGGAGGGTAGTCGCCCTGAGTCTACATTTCACGGTTATTTTAGGTTCATACCCATTGGCAGCCAAACAGATAAAGCAGGGCCAAGCGTGTACAGTACTTTCTGCGTGAGTGGCCAGCAGAGTCTGATTTGGGGGGGGGGGGGGTTGTTCAGATCAGAGGCTGAGGGTTTCCGTGGGGATTAAACTTGTGTCTCCTCTCACAGCCGGTCAGATGTTCAAGAGGAGATGTTAAGTCTGATCATCGAGAAGTGCAAGATGGGCCTGGAGAATGATCCGGAGCAGGTTGTCAAAGGTATGGCCAGTTCTTCGCTTTGTCGTAAAAGACACGTTATTTTCACGTACCATAAAAATACTTTGGTCCATATAGATAAAATCTTTACATATTCTTCTTGTCTGTGTGTGTATGTGGTCCAGGGATACATTACATTGTGGGGACCAAATGTCTCCACAATGTGCCAAAAACCTGTTATTTTAACATTGTGGGGGGCATTTTTTCGGTCCACACAAGGGGCAATTCAATTTTATAATAACCTGTGACTGCAATCAAAAAACTAAAAATGCCACAAGTCTTGTATTTTGTTTGGTTGTTTATGGTTAAGGTTAGGGCTGGGTAGGGGTTAAGGTTGTCATTGTTTGGATTAGGGTTTTATTCATAGAAATGAATGGATGGGCCCCTCAGAGATATGAGTACAGGTTGTGCGTGTGTGTGTGTGTGTGTGTGTGTGTGTGTGTGTAAATAATGAATTGTTCACTGTTGATTTCATGATGATCATTTATATTACATTTATATTACTATTGTGTAAACTGTAAACCACTCTTTGTAGACAACACATAATGCTATATTTTCCTCTGTAATGTAAATGCTGTGTAGGTGAATTTCTTTCCACACGTGAGATTTCCATTGGTTCTTTAGCAACTAGCTGCCATTTAACGATTATAATGCCCCGTCTCCTCCAAATGAGTTATGTCTGGTTCTGGACCTTTGCCCAAATGCTAAATGTGACAGACCCCACAGAGTCTCGCTTGCCGTTGCTAGCCAGCAGCCGACTCTAAAAGTGGTCCAATAGGGGACGAGAGTGCATTCCATCCTCAGCCATGTCTAGACTCTTCATGAGGGTGGCCGGTGTGATGGACAGACTTGTCGGCAACCCGTCTCCTTGATTCAAACATCCGCTAATCGCTCTGAAAGTTACAGCCTTGCTGATCTAATGGCCTATCTGTCTTGCGGGCCGGTTTCGTAAACATCACCGCAGTTTTATTGTTCACACGAGCAGCCCAGGGTGGCAAAGCCACATGCCTTCCTGACCTTTTAATAAGTGCTCAATGGAAATACTTCTATATGCCTACGTTTCCCCTATTTGTCCTCAACCAAAGAAGCAATCAGATGGGCACTGGCATGACTTTTGTGGCCTGCCATGTGTGTAACGTTTCAGTTTTAAAGTTCTAGAGGACTCTTCAAAATTCCATATCTTCCATTTGTCAAAATCCCAAGGGCAATTTGCTAAACCAGAGCATGACGAATAGACTTCATTTGCTATATATAGTAAGATGTCCGGTGTAATAAGATGTGCTACTGCTTTCGTGTAAAATGCAGAATGTGCTGTGTCATAATGATTAATATATGGTTAATCTTAGTTCTGGGGAACATACATTTGTTTTCCCGGGTGATAAATAACTTTTGCATGGACTGCTGAACGAAAGCATTGCCGTTGGACACACACAACCCCCCCCCCCACGGTATGGGGCTGTTTTGATGAAGGCCAGTCATGGAAAAACAGTGGAAAACTCACAACTGCAGCTGCATTTCCAGAAATGGGCAAACAAGTTGAGCTTCATGTCAGGGAGGGTATGCTGAGGTCAGAGGTCACAAGTGAAACTAATTAATCGCCAGCCCAGACTCCCTCAGGAGGCATTAGTGGGCAGTAAGATGGGACACAGGCGGAGGGTAAAGAGAGCCTGCAGACCCTCACTCAAGGCAGCTGGGCTCTGTCTACCTCTGTCACGGGCGCTGGGGAAGAGCTGCTGGCAACAGTGTAACATCATCAGTGTAACCTTACCACTGTCATAAACACCAGTTGTTAAAGGCTGTGCAATTAATTAACACCGAGTGCAATAATGAAAAACTGTCACAAAGCAGTGACCTTGTACATGCTAGGTACCTCAGAACCTCATTCTCCCATTTATTTTCCCATTTTTAGTACCCCAAAATATGAAGTCAGACAAAAGATGCCTACCTGATTTGTATAGAAAAAGGTAACCCTTTAAGCTGTCCAATCATTATAATATTCTGTCATCTATATAATAATAATAATTATAGATACCTTCATAATGCATTATAACTGTAGGTATATGAATTAATAAAGCATTACATATTAATAGCCATATTTATAATGCATTCATAAAGCATTATAATGTTATGAATGTGTTTGTAGTTACTCATAGGCATAGAAAGTTTTACCAAAAAAAACTTGAAAAATGTTCCAAAAATTCATGTGTGTAATTTTCTCATGAAGACCTCAACCAGTTAATCCTGTCACTCTACCAGTTCCACTGTTATATGCTTGAAAACAAACCGTCATTTAGTCTGTTCCAGTTTTAACACGTGAAATCAGGAAACCACAGAATTCTCATGGCTATCAACGACATAGCTCTGCAGCGACAGAAACCCTGCAAACATCCTCGACCGATTCTACAATTCAGAAACCCTCCAAAATGGTTGCCTAGTCGACAGTTACCTTGATAAACATCATATTTTTTTATGGAGGACACATATGGTGTAATCAGATAAATAATATAAATATTGAAGATTACATGGGCAACTCTCCTTTCCTGTAACTGTTCCTGTTTTTCAAAGATCTTTTCCTTGTACTTCAAAGATATGATAAAGGTTTCAAAGTCTTAGTCTATCCATCTGTGCTGAATAGCTTGATTTAAGGTTTCAGTGATCCAAAGCCAGCAAGACTATGGTAGAACGCAACAGTTCATCACAAATCAGTCACACAGACGTACAATCACACATACAGTAGACATGTCACCAGTTCACATCATCTTTGAAGCTTGCAGCGAAAGGGGAACTGCGCTGCCTGGTGAACGGAACTGTGAAACACGTGCAAACACGTGATGGGTTCAAATCCCTGAGCACCACACTTAGTCCAAAACTCCAATCCCGAGTTTCAAGTCAGGAGCCACTAAGATTTCCTGTCAAAGCTAGAACAAGTTCTTTCCACTCAGTCAATCCTGACAAGCAAAACAACCAGATAATCACCAGTGAAATTAGAAATATGAATCCATCTGTATCACTCACCCACAATTTAATGTGCATCTCAGTTATAGTGGAATATTTATCACCAACCATAAAGCTAAATTTACATAAAGGAAGGAAGAAGATGACTGGCAGATTGTTTCGCTTTAGGACACTGAGACTAAGGATTCCTATCATTTACTGCTGCCTTATGTTTCAGTATTTACGGATGTGCTTCACAACATTACTGTAAGCGGCAAGCGGATCTATGTAACTGATGCCCGTAGAAACCACTTGGAAGGAACGTGGTGTCCCAAGCGTTTCCCCAAAATGGAAAGAAGCAACATTTTACTCGTTAATGCCATTGTTCAATGCCAGTGTGACACAGATGACACAGATGAGGTCATCTGATGAGACACACAGATGGCCGAGGGCCTTAATTTTACTTTCACTTGTCTGCAAGACATTTCATCCATTGACTTCTTAAATTCACATCCATGCGATTTCTATCTACTTTATATTTGCACATTTCTGTTATCATTCGTCAAATAAAATGCTATAATAAGCATTCAGTCTTTCACCGAATGCTTGCTTATAAATTGACGGTGTTTGCCAGACCAACCATTGAGATCCCCTCCCCTAAACGAGTGCATTTTTTTAGATCAATATATTGTATTTTTAAGGGCATTTCTGTTCGGTCATTGTTCAGTGATGGTAAAGCGTCTTGGAAAAACTCAGAGACGGATAATGTTTCGCTAAGCAAGATAAAACTTTCGAGCCTGTGCTTTAAAATCAATCACGAGGGGGCCATCCGACTGATCGTGTTCCCGAGAGGGATCCGTGACTTTGCCGGATCATTTTCACCATCCCTTTCTGTGGCCACCTGGTGATTTTCATGGGATTTCCGGCCAGGCCCTGCAGGAAATGAGCTGACCTGCCGACTAACGGCAAGCGGCCACCACAGTGCGCTGCGGCAACGATGGACAAAGACACCGCCTTGGCCCAGTTCAGCTCTTGCTCCGCCAGGCCTCCCCATCCACTCGCGAGTCGGCCGCGTGGCCTGGAGCTCGAACATCATGAACCCGGGGTCCTTCTCTTAAGTGCCGGATTTCAGCCGCAGATGAATTTTCAATATATGACCACTTATCTGTCGCGCGTGAGAGCATCTGCCTCTCGAATGATGAAAACATTAACAAATATCGAATCAGCGATTTCACTGAGAATCATCTTAGACGCGTTAGTGGTCCCTAAGCAGGCTTTTAAAAGCTAAGCACCTAATCTCACGATTTGCCTGCCCCACTGGAGAAAGGCCTAACAATCGTTCTTTGATTATTGGAACTAGGAAGGAAGTCAGCCATTTGTACATTACATTCAGCATTTTTAATGTTGCTTGCCCTTGACCAGTTTCAGGGATACAGTAATGTTCCTGATTATGTTCAGACATGGGGCACCAACTTTAACAATTCCTGTCTCTAAAAGGCTCACATTGATTTGGCTGCCATAGCTTTATGTCTTTGCAGAATCCAAATAACTCAAATGTCCACCAAGCTGTGGTGGAAATAATAGGATTCCCTCCTTTTTTTTATCATCGAAAGACTGAAGTAAATGTAAGAATCTAGCAGCCGTTCTGGTTACTCGCAGGCCTATATTTTGTCGCTTATGGTTCTTCGGTTCTGCGGTCCCCAGACGGTGCTAAACAAACGCTCTCTGAAATGCCTTGTGAGTACCGAACAAGGAAGAGCAGAGGCAGAACCGTTTGGAGTTTGGCAGCAGTAGACCTAGATGTTAGATTCGCTCACTTGTCGTTTGCCCTCTTGATTGGATGAATCGCACAAAAGGGATTAAACATTTAACGAAACGTGTTAGTGATGGTAAAATTGTTTCATTGGAATATGCTATAATGGTAAAGCAATTTGTATGAATGTACAATGAAGTACATAATACACTTACTGTTCAACAGATAATTGATTAATTGATGTTGCAGCTTAAAACTAGACTGCCCCCTTGCCTCTATTATTCAACCTGGGTTGTAATCTTGTACACATTTGACAGTAGAGGACACAATGTCTGGTCCCACATGCAGTCATTCTCATCCAGCCAATTGCTTTTCCCATAAAGGCGTGATTGGGCTGGCAGACAAAACAGCGCCGGCCCACCGCCAGCCAATCCCCGAGCAGCCACAGTGATCTTTGACCTTTCACTGTAATTGGCTTCCCAGCTGTTCTCCCCTCTGGCGAAGGGAAATGTACAGCATGCAGATGCTAAATCGTGGTCATTTGTTACATGTAGCGATAAATTGATGTAGCAGCAACTCTGCTGTTTGTTTATTTTTTAACTTGGATCCAAGATTTTTCTGCATTCTGTATTATTGAAAACTACGTGTAAAACGGCTAGAATCGTGCTTCTTTTTTTCTATAGTTGGTGACGGGATTGGATTGTTTATAGAGTCTGCTGCCCTGACTCAAATATAAATGTTGTGGTGTTAACTAAACTTAAGTTACATGAGGGCCTTCTGCTAAATCAGCGTTTTTTTGGGGGTTTAAAGCTGTAATTAGTGGCACTCCTGCCTATATGCTGGTGGTATTTATTTTTAAACACGCTCTCATGCGTCGTAATGACCTTTGCATCTGCTGCGTTCCTTATTACAGTGCCAGGCAAAAGGCCCTGAAATCACAGCACTCGTATAATCACACTTCTACTAATCAAAATGAACTCGCCACACTCGCCAGATTTCAAATTTCTTATTTTTTTAGCAGTCATGTTAAAATGTTATGACACAAAACCAAACATAGCCACTCTTGCAAGCTAGTAATAGATAAACTTGACTAACAGAATCGTGTTTATCAGGTATGATCTGATTTACATTTTTTATTATCAGAAACTAAACATTACCAGGGCCCAGCTGCATTATCTGTAAGAGGTTAGCCATTGTTGAGCTCTAAACTTGAGATATGCACTGTGAACTCAAAGTTAATTGAACAAAGGCTCTTTAGTACTCTGTTGATCCGTATTATTCATTTGATGAAGTTTGTTTTGTTGAATTTCAAGCGAGACAGCAGAATACGTGTGAGTGTGCTCTCTGTGGCCCCGGGCTTCTGTACAGTGGCCCCTGGCTTCTGTGGCCCCGGGCTTCTGTACAGTGGCCCCAGGCGTGAGCGTGTGTGGCTGTGTCCCGCAGGCTGGCTGTACCGGGAGGCACCGGGGAGCTGGATCAGGCAGCGCCGGCACTGGTTCGTCCTGACCCACGACTCGCTGGACTGCTACAGCAGCTCGGAGAAGGGTGCCCGCCGGCTCGGCACCCTGGTCCTCACCAGCCTCTGCTCCGTCGCCTGGCCCGACAAGCAGACGTACAAGGAAACGGGTGAGGGCCGCCAATGCACGTGGCTGGAATGTTCTCCGGCGCCGTTTCTTTGGGCCGGGATTGTGGAGGGCACGTGGGCCGGTCTCCGGAGGGGCATGGGGGAAGCCCAATTCCTTTGGACTTCTGAAACAGTGACCTCAACCCTATTTGTGTCACAGAAAGCCAGTTTGGCTCCTGCCGTGTGTCCTTGACAAGTCAGCAGTGGAATGAGGATGACCTCACGGGGATCCCCCGTTTACACATATTATCGTAATATTCATTTCGTAATAATCAATTTCAAGCGAGAAAGCAGAATACGTGTGAGCGTGCTCTCCGTGCATCCTGGCTTCTGTACGGTGGCCCTGGGCGTGAGCGACGTGTGCGGCTGTGTCCCGCAGGCTGGCTGTACCGAGAGGCTTCTGCAGCCGCACGTGCCGACACTCAGTAATGTTTACTTTAACAATTCAAAGTCAAACCTCTTAAAATCAATTTATTTATTTTTTTGTATTTTGACGTCTCATCAAGCAGCTACATCTCCTTCCGCACGTATGCTTCCTCGTACATACACAGCGGACACTTGGCATACATAGCAGGTGTCCGCGAGGCAGATCGTACATCGACAGGCGTAAATGCAGCCAGTGTGAGCAGGAGCTGCACAACAACCGTTAACAAATAAGACCTAATAAGGGCCAGAAGTGCGACATAAGAGCAGCAGTTTAGGAGGAATTCATGGAATGTAAGCGTTTGTGGTTTGGAGAAACCCTGTGTCAGCACTTTGAAAGAAGGTCCCTGTCAAAAGCCCCCCCCCCCCCCCCCCCCCCCCCCCCCC